ATTTACATTTAACCATATTTTTCAAAATGTTTATATGTGTACATATGTACACGTCATTTTAAAATAAATACGTACAACAAATCCCGTTTGAATAGAGAAAGTAAAATTGTGTAATATACATAACGCGGTCTTTGATTTAGACTACGCCAACACATGTCTTAATTTTCTCCGCACTTCAAACATATCTAAATTTCTAAGTCAGTATTGGATGAATTATTTACCTCATTCTTCATAAGAATTTTTAATTTTATGTTTATTGTGCGTTTTTCTTTAACCTTAAGACCGTCTTTTTAATATATTTTTTATTTAAAATGTTTTAACTCCGCAGAAACGCACAGCGACTTCGAACTTTCAAATCATATAACCGACCATCTCCTGGCGGCCGGTAATTTGTCATCAATACAAAAATATAATTATATACTCCTGATGTATGTAATCTATTTAATATTTAAGAATCTATAATATAAATTGAAATATTCATTGCGGATCAAAAATCCATTAATTATTTAAATTTCCCTCTAATATATATAACACTTTTTCTTGCATTGTAATTTAATCAAATGACCCATTTGATATAATTATATTGAATTATTTCTTGATAGTAAAAACATAATAAAGGGAAATAATCAAAGGTTGAACCCGCTTTTGATTGGTTCGTTTGGATCTTGAATCTCGAAACTCGAATTTTGAATCTCGAATTTCGAATTTTGAATCTCGAATTTCGAATCTCGTATTTGGAAACTCGAATCTCGAATGAGCCTTCTGGGCTTTCGTGCGAATGAGCCTTCTGGGCTTTCGTATCAAAGAGCTAGGTTCGCTTTATGCATAACATTACCCAGTAGATATACCATATCCAAAAAAAAAAAAAAATCACAATTTATGTTTAATTTATAATTTGATAAATTAAAGACTTGGTGCTATCATGCCCTATTAATTTTTTTCTTTGAAAGTTCGGGTATTGGAAAGCATGCTTCATGAAGTTGCAATGATCTTAAATTTTTCAGAGGAAAAAAAATATGAGCACACTTCTTGGTCCAAAAAAAAAGTTTCGTAATTATCACGCACAGTTCATTTAATAATTACATGTTTTAGAACAGGGGCTGCGCTCTATATGACATAGTGAAAAAGTAGCTTTCGAATTAGCTGTTTTGTTGAATTTTCTCGATATGAGGAAAATGACGCAATTCATGACGTCATAATGCATTTACTAGCCAGAAAATTAAGTCATTTTTGACAGATTTGCAATCAACATGGGTCTTGATTATATTTGAAGTACTGTCAATCAAACCAAAGCAGTTTCAATTCTTTAGAAATTCACAGTGCCTAAAATGTCCCGAAGAAAATCTTTTGCATTGTGTCTTGGCCATTATATTTCGGTACATCCCACTAATTATTTTTAGAATCGGTAGGAGAAGAAAGTAGTGCAGAAAAAATTAAAAGTTCCTTAATTTGCAGGTTTGTATAAAAAAATCGTGCAGATGTGCTGAACTGAGCCTCGCATTTGTTGATTAGGAGTATCTTTCCTACCAAAAAAGCTTGGCAAATGTAATATATCAAGAAGATCGTCCAAATTATTTTGTGTATTATACCGTCAGTGAGAACTCATTTTTTTCATTTTAGAGGTTCCCGCAGACAGACGCATTTTGCCGGAAAACGAATCTGACATGCCACCTCGAGATTTTAACCAAGGAAAGAAAACTTGATGTGCTTTGATTTGAGGGGTCACTCACTGCTGAACGAAAATTATGGACATAGCTATTGGAAGAAACGTTAACATTGTCGCCTATGGGAAAACAATTAGTGGACTGTACCCATTTCTCCGTAATGACTGTTTGACATATCTCCAAAAGTCATGTATATGATTTAAATATGATATAGCTTTCATTAAGTAAACTGTATGCCAAGTAGAATTACTTCAGCTTTTTTATCGTTAACATCCCCCATTTATGTTTCAAAATATTTCATTGATGTCTCCAAATGGAATATAAATCTCCCATTTGAATCGATTTGCGATGACACGATTTGAGCACATTGATTATTTAAACAAAATAGACTTCAGACAAATATGTTTATGTCAAAGGTATTCCAAAGATCTCAAGAGGTGTCAATATTTTGAAAATTCTAAGGACTCTGTTGCAAAATTCCACATCAAATGAATACAACGAGAATTCGATGAAGGGACAATTTCTGATCGATAGTATTTCCAACAGATTGATCGGTGGAAGCTGGCCTTAAAGAAATTTGTATAAATGTTGCAAATAAGAAAAATTGGTTAATCTAATAAATACAGTGGACAAAGAGCAAGAGCCATCTTATGCTTAAAATGGCCGTGTACTCATATCAATTAATTTACTATCACCCTCTTTCCATTTTAAATATCAAAATAAAGAAAACAATTGGTGCTTTCATTTTCTATAATACAATATCATTTTGAGAATCCCCATATTAAAAAACAGGTTTGAAAAATTGCAATGTTCTTGAAATTTGCGGAAAACATGCGTATTTGACTACCTTCAGAAAAGAATTAAAATATGAGCACAGCCCATGATCCAAAAATAAAACATGTTTTTTGATCTTCAGAAACAGAGCTTTCAGTATGTATTTTGGATCAGAGGTTGTCCTCTAAATGAAATGTTGAAAAAATGCTTCAACTTTAGGTCATTTTCAAAGGAATTTACAAGATATAAGGAAAATGACGCATTTTATGACGTCATAATGCATTGACTAGAAGGGAAATTACGTCACGATTAATAGAAACGTGGCCACAGCACTCCAAGTGATAAATACTGCATTTGCAACCTAAACTAAGCGGTTTTGATTTTTCAGAAATTCTCAGGGCCAAAAGAGGCCCAAAATTGTTCTTGCTCTTTAAATAAGCAAACAAGAAAAGGGATTTTGTTTTCACCAGAAAAGGGATCAGCTAGGTGCCTAGTACAATAACGCATCTCCTGCTTACCCATCACGCTCGATATAAGATATACAGATCAACGCACGTTTTTAACTAACATGGTTTTTTGCAAAAATGAAGGTCACATTATTCTTGCAATAAAACTTAATATAATCGAACTTCAGCTCGAGACATAACCCTAATATGTATCAAATATCTAATGTCAAAGATATATAATCTTAAGAATCATTAAGTTTTCAAAGTCAATGTTTTAAAGGGAACTTTATTAATAAATGGTATGATGTTATATTCTTTATGATTCTGAAATAGGTATTTACAAATTTTAATAATCGAGCTTTCTTTGATACTTTTAAGTAGAAATTCCCAAAATGACTTTTTAGATGAGTATTTTTTTTAAAGTACTTTGCACATCTTCCATACTCGTCTTGGTTTTATCGAAATTGATCGCCGAAAACTGACAAGGTTGTATTAAGAAATCCTGCCAAAAGATAGGATAATAAAGAATTGTTTATCTTTAAGAATAGCAAATTGTTACAATTAATAGGAAATCATTTTACATTTAAGGTCTGAAACTTTAAAAATTTTGCGATTGGACGTATATTTCATGACGCAAGATTTCAGAAAGTAACTCTGAAAGAATGCCAGCTTTTTAACATGGAAAGTAGTCGAACAGCTGAGAAATACTGTTATAATCTTGCGATTTAGAGTCATATTAATATACGGAAAATAAGACGTAACATGAGCTGCACTATTTTTGTGTATAGGCAAGGCAAATGACTGCTTTAAAAAACGGATACTAAGACGACATCAGTTGGTGAGAAACCATAAAAAATCAGTTTGCAGCTGTCATAACGCATCATGCAAGAGCATATTAAAACCCTACCAATTATTATGTATAAATTATGTTCTAAGTTAATCATTTAAAATCAAATCAATTAGTCAATAAATCATTTTAAGTATGTTTTGTTGCCTCGTTACTCAATTTTGCATTATAAATATGTGACCTTAATTTGTGCGAAAAACCATGTGAGTTTAAAAAGTGCGTTGAGCTGTATATATTGGTCAAGATTGATTGATTGCTTATTGTTTAACGTCCCTCTCGAGAATTTTTCACTCATATGGAGACGTCACCGTATGCCGGTGAAGGGCTTCAAATTTTGACCTTTACTCGGCACTCAGGTCCATTGAGCAGTGAGGGATCTTTATCGTGCCAACGCCTGCCGCTGACACGGGGCCTCGGTTTTTAAGGTCTCATCCGAAGGACCTGCAACTTTTAATTCAAAGTGTCGAGCGCATGGCGAAGGAACAGTTGCTACCCACTTTAACGACCAGGTCAGTCGCGGCCGAGATACGAACTCACGACCTCCCGATCACGGAGCGATCGCTCTACCGACTGAGCTACCGTTAACGGTTATTGGTCAGTTATCAGGGTACCTATACTGGCTCTTAACGGGAATATTGAAATTAGTGTAACATTCACATTTATTTGTAAACAGTAAATGACTTCGTTAGCAAATAACTTTTTCATCGAGTCAAATGCTCACGGACGTTTTTCATACTTATTTTTAGTCCATTAAATGTATTTATACACTGAATTGACAACGAATTTTTCCTTTATTTCCCGATTATGACAAGGAACATACGGCGAGTGTGATCGGTGGGCAGGAGATGCTCACTTCTTCATGACACCCTATCCTAACTCTGATGTCTCGAAGGTCCGTGTTTGCTTTGCTCCTATTTATATTATTTTATGAACTTCTGATCTTGAATACTGTTCGTCATCTCCATTTCCTTCCTCATTAGTAGAATATATTTAATGACAATCACAAGATCTGAAAATGCCTAGTTCTTATTTTTTTTATTAAAGAAAATTTTGTCTCTGACAAAATCCTGGTTTTCAATTAATCTTAGGGAAGCTAATCTCATTCTGAGTTATCTTTTGGATCGTAATAACAAACATTCAAGTGGCAGGCTCATCCAAAATCAAATTCACTTCAAAGAACCTGGTGATTTGAAATTATAGTTATTTTTCTTTCCTTGGTGCAATAAAACTATAACTGTTCATCTTTATATCCTCAGTCGTTATCAGGATTATTCATTCCCCCTCTGCAAAAAAAAAAAAAAAAAGAAATATAAATAATAATAAAAATACACAAAACCATTATCGATAAAGCATTGAAAGAACTATAGGCAAGTGTACAAAAATTGACAACAAACAAAGCTGGGGTATTTGGGAATTCAAGACAATTATCTTTTGCAATGAAGTCTTCAATGATTACTTTAATAAGATTGTTAACATTCTGTCACTTCAACATATTTGCCAAATATTTGCCTCGTTTGAAAATTTCTTTGTGAATAAAATGTGTTCTAGCGCATCGAAGTCATAAATTCCATATAAATTATTTAAAATTCTCTTAGAAAATTTGAAGAAAAATTATGAATAAATTTAAATTTAAAAACTCAATTAGAATTTTAATTGTATCATAATTATGAAACATCACCCGAATTTCACCTGAAATTTTTGGCATTGATAGCTTACCGTTTTCTGTGAAGGTGTATAAGAATAATAACAAAGACAGAAACAACGAACACGAGTTCTGTGACGAGTATCACTATGATCTGAATGTAGTTGTCTTTCTTCTGATAATTCTCCTCTTCATTTATTGTAATGTTGCTATTTACAACAATCACTAAAAAGCAAAAAAAAAAAAAAAAAAAAAAAATCTTTAGATTTAGATTGTTTATTTAAATAATCTCATTAACTTTTTGTTCATTTTTAATTTTTAAGTTATATTTCATCATATACTATTTTTATGTCCTTCTTTTTATACACCTTGAAAGGATTTTGGATAGCAAATATATAGATACAATGTATATCTACAAAATCTTGTTTTATGAATTAGCCATAAAAATTTAATTTAATTTTATTTAACACGCATGTACAAGTGATGCTTAAAATCCACTCAGTATGGTACCTTCACATTTTCAATCTGTAATTCTTATTGAGATTTAAATGGTTTAAAAATTGATTTAAAAAATATGGAAATAAAAACCGTCAATACATACGGATAATTGCCTTACTTTCAATCGCTGGATGCTTCTCTGTACAACAGCCAGATCTGGTACATGTAAGTAGTGTTAAATTCGTGATACACTTTCTCAAGAACATAATTATCATTAAAGTTATAAAATTACATACATTAATTTGATTTATTCAATCAATCAAAGTACAATAAACCTTACTGGTATACTTAAAGATTAATTCATATTCAAGTCAAGTGCTTTTTATGTGCTCAAGGCCTTCATAGAACTATACTTGTAGATACTCAAATAAAAAAAAATTAAGGCATGATTATTGTATATTATGTTTTTTTTAAATAAGGAAGGAAACTTATTTTATCTGTATATAGAAAGTTATATGAAACAAAGACGAGCTAGGAATTAGAGTTTTTGGTTTTTAAATCTAAATTCTTAAAATATTTTTGCTTTGATTTAATATTTCATTGTCATCTTTTTTTGATAGTCATATCCTTTGAAAACAAAAATATTTGACTATAGACGACGCAAATTATTACGCTATTGAATATTTTTTTTTTACTAAATATGTGTATTTCTGTTATTCAAATGTGTAATCTGAATTATAACTTATAGTCTGTTAAAATTGGGTTATAGTAAATTATTATATTTATTCCTGTAGGATATTTAAAATATTCCAAAAACGTTAATTAATAATGGTGACCCAGATAAATTCAAAAACTTAAGTAAAAAAAATAAGGCTATATTATAAGTTCGGTTTTTATGCTCACTTAAATCATATACTTTATTAGATTTGATTTAGAAAAGGCAGAAAAAGGTTAAGAATTATAACTTTCCCCTAATTTCTGTCAGTAAAGATAATTCAAAATCATTTTATAAAGAATTCTTCAGAGTAAATAAGTACATGTACTCACTTTTTCTCACTAAAGCCTTTCAATTCGGAAAGATATAGGAGAATAAGAAAGCAAATAAAAACGCCATAAATTTTGTTGCTGTTACGTTTTTTTTTCTTAGGGGATACTTCAATTTCCTTACCACTAGAGCCCAAGTCTTGAATTTTTGGGGTTCTTTTTTATGACCTTTTCACAATTTTGCATTGTTTGCATTGGTTTTACGTTAAAGATCGATTGGTGAGTATTTGTTATCTTAATTTTGTTTAATTAGAACAGGAAACAGGAATTTGAAACATTCAATTCTCTCTTTCATTTATTATCCTTTTCCTCTCTTATTTTTTTCTGATTTCCGACACGTCTTCCTTTCGACTCGCTTGTTTGAAAAATGTTTGTTGAAACTTTTTACATAAAAGATCTATAAACACAATCACAAAAAAGACACACTGAAGTTACGTATTCTTTAACGTGGATTACTTTAATCCCAAACCAAATGGACTTTTATAAGGAGATAAATACAGTGTATATCTGTAATTGTCAACAATATATTGCGATAATGGACAGTTTCAACTCAAAAGTCAAATGAAACAATACAAATAAGAAGCTGATCAAACATCGACCTCTAAAAACATCAGAGGCGGGATCAGGTGTCATGGAGGAGTAAGCATCCACTGTTGACTAATTAGGCCGACTGTGTGCTCTCTTTCAGAATCTCATACTCAGTGATCTTTATCTCTTGAAAACGCTTTTTGGCATCTGGAGTAAATGCTCAACTTTTTAGTACAGGCACCTGGCGTTACTTTTTTTTTTAAAACCTAAGCCCATACCTCATAACACGTGTATTTTAAGGTATGGGGATAATATTAAATAAGAAACATTAATAACTTCTGGTATCTGTTTTTGAAAGAGTGTTCAACTGACTATCTGATATAAACATTTATATTTTTCTTCTCAAGTATTACCGAATCAGTATCATTTGAATTACCCTTCATCAAAATGGAATTCCCATGGCTACCAATTCAGATCCATTCCCAGATAGCATGACTATGTTGGGCCAACACAGGTAAAAGGTTGTAAGTTTGGCGTTGGGGGAACCACGTTGGGCCAACGTTAGACCCATGTTACCATGTCAACCTTCTCGACCATGACATAATTCCTTTATTGGCCCAACGTTGGTCCAACATAAGCAATTTCCATTCACTTTACTTTCCAAGGAAGGACGGGTGCTGATGTTGGCCCAACGTTGGCCCAATATATATAATACAACCTTAAAGAAAGTGTCTTTTCAAATTGGTAGTTGTATATTGGACCAACGTTGGCCCGATGTTTGTAGTACACCCGTAAAGAATGTGTCAAATCAAGTTGGTAGTAGTATGTTGGCCCAACGTTGGCCCAATGTTTGTAATACACCCGTAAAGAATGTGTCAAATCAAGTTGGTAGTGGTATGTTGGCCCAATGTTTGTAATACACCCGTAAAGAATGTGTCAAATCAAGTTGGTAGTGGTATGTTGGCCCAACGTTGGCCCAGTGTTTGTAATACACCCGTAGAGAATGTGTCAAATCAAGTTGGTAGTAGTATGTTGGCCGAACGTTGGTCCAATGTTTGTAATACACCTTTAAGGAAATGTCTCATGAAGTTCGTAAGAGAATGTTGGCCCAACGTTGGCCCGATATTAGCAAGAGTGTTATTTTGTTCAGGTGTTTTAAAGATGGGATATTTATATTGGGCCAACGTTGGTCCAATTATTATACTGCCAACTAAATGATGGTGTCAATTTTATAATTAGCTGCTGAGCTTTACGTTGGGACAGCGTTGGTTCCAAATATTAAATTAGATGCATATTCTGAAATAATTAAGAGGATATTCTATGTCCATGCTTTTCCTTGGATGACTGCTTTTGTTTAAATATGATATTTTCAACATTTTAACTTTGAACTTAAGTGATCACAGCACCAAAGAGTGTTTTATTCTATTTTTTGAATTGTGTGCATGGTTATTTATTTTTAATAAAACGCTTAAAATTATGATTTTTTTATGAGCGTTGTATTCATAAGAATTTAGAGAAGACTGAATAATTGATAGTTAAAAGTTCTCAGGAACAGGATGTGAATCCCAGATAGCAGAACATCGTTGGTCCAATCTTACATTATGTTTGTATTAGCGCTGTTTGGTTACATTTAATGGACCAACAAAGGTCCAAAATAGAATATTGATATATGTAGTTGATTATGTATAATGGGGCCAATGTTGGGCTATCTGTTGGTGTTATATCATAAAACTACCCGGTATTACATGAGAGAAAACATTTGTTGGGGGATTGGCATCGGCCCCAAGTTGGCCCAATATACCATGAATCTGATTGAGTATCATGGGTAGACACCATCCGGGTTACTTGTAATATCCGCGCCATTTTTAATCTGACACGAGCGGAATGAGACTGATGCCTTGCATATCTGCATCCACTTTGTAAGTATTTATAATATATTTGCTTCGACACAGCTTAATTAATGTTTATAGTTTAAACGATATCTTGTACAAATCTGTGTAAATAAGTGCAGAGGCCAGGTGCTGTCGAGACAACACTGTCCCAGATAGCATGCTAACATTGGGCCAACGTTGGGCCAATGTTACCGGTTACATCGGGCCAATGTTGGCAAATGACATTGGCCCAATGTAAGTTTGCTTATCGGCCCAATGTTGGCCCGATATGTTGTGCCGACGTTTGCCCAATGTAGAATGTTATTTCTACAGATGTTGGCCCAGAGTTGCGACAACATTGTCCAATTAAATGAATGCGACACTGGGCCAATTTTGGCCCAACGTCAACAATAACATTGGGTCGATGTTGGCAAATGACGTTGACCCAGTGTCATTTTGCTCATTGGCCCAATGTTGGCCTGATATATTGGACCAACATTGGACCAATGTGAATAATATTTAATTGTTACAAATCTGTATATTAACAAATTCGGTAGTCTCTAAAATCTGAAATAAATCTACCACCAATCCTTCTTGAAAATACAAGTTAGCTAAAATAAATTTACAAGGCTTGTTAAAATTCTTAATATTCATCAAAACAAAATAGATTATCTGTGATTAAATTTATTGTTTCTAACTTTCTATACAAGAAAAATATATGAAAGTATAAAATAACAAATGTGTTTTGATACAGTTAAAACAATAAATTATTTGCCCCTTATTTAGATTGAAGTTTGTGTCTAGTAGAATAAATTTCTACCACTCATTTTACTTGTATACACTTAAAGTCGAGCACATATGACCAAACATGTTGAAAATGTTGAACATGTTAAAGTTAAAACAAAATTTATTCGGTACTAAAGGATAGATTGGGTTCTTTCATTTAAAATGTGTTCAGTGTACTAACAAATTTTCTATACATGTATTTAACTTTGAATAATGAGTTATATGGCGCAACATTAAATTAAAATCGGTGTAATGGTGATCAAGCGTAGAAATTTTATGCATAAATGCCTTCATCACGCAAGCTAATCGCTTAATCACACCATCAAACAAAAAAGACGGTTATTCTTCAATTGACAGCTTAAAAATATAGTGATATACTTATAAATTTAATCGTATGTTTACTCTTTACTGAGAAAAGTAAGTAACAAATGTATAAAGTACCAAATACTACAATTTTAGTGGTACTGGAGATTCTAAAAAGACATTGAGAACACAATCAAAGAATGGCTAAAGTATGCAAAGGACAGGAATGGGGGAGGAAGAAACGGACAAAGAAGAAAAGAAGGGGGAGGAGACTCTGGAGAGAGAAGAGGAGACTTAGGAGAGGGATCAGATTGAACGCGGCAGTGTCTAACTTTTTCCTGTTTGGGCTGTGACATACCTGTATTTCTCTCCTTTTCTGTGTCTGTTTGTCGGTAACAAACATGATGCAGATGTCAGATACATTTTTTTGTGTAAGTAAACAAAATTGCGAGATTCATTTTAGTATTATTTTAAGAAAAGGAGATCTTTGTTTATTTTTAAGACGCGCTTATTGATATCTGCAATTTACTGAACTTGTGCATAAATTTACATCAGAAAGGGAGTATACAATCATTTAACCCTACATGTATCGCTTCAAGTGAGCATCAACTTTTTGTTCTTTATGTTTTCTTCATGCTTTGAGCAATAAAATATTAGTATGTTATAATTTTATTTAATAATATGATTTCTTTTTGCTCAGTTTTTTAATTAATGTAGAGCTACTTACAATGTAATACTTGTTGATGGTAATT